ACTGTACAGATTCATTACAAACTTTAAAAAAAATCAATCTAATTCGCATTTTAGACGTATTTTATGACCATTACAAGATCTTGAAGAATTATTCAAATATACCGGTAGGTTGAGATTGATAACCAATCAAATACTAAACTAATATCGCACACCATGTTTATAATTTCTAATACTATAAATCAATAGACTTGTAAGTTCTAAGTTCAAATAATTCTTATAACGAAATAAATTGTTTTTATGAGTGGGTCACAGATTAACAGAACACTGATCTATAGATTTACACAATGACTTTAGACAATGGAAGTGGAAAATGAATTTCGAATATTTTTTTCTACAAGCTCTTCTCTATAATTGCAAATTTGCGCACACCATAAGTAACGGTTTGCGTGACGTTGTACAATTAATTTTTTTTTAGATACAATTACATCCATGTAATATCAAACTATTTTATATATTACTTACGAATTTGAATTTCCTTTCTTCAGCGTTCACTTTCCATATCAGTTCGGGCCCCGTACCAAACTTGTGGTTGAACGAAAATGGGAGACAGGGGCCAATATGGAAGCCGTCCGAGGTGAAAGAGGTAGAAGGCAAGAACCTGCAACATTACGACGGCATCACCTAACGCCGGGCTGCTAGCAAATGAGCATAAGTTGCTAGAACCGGCCACACCGGCCACCAAGCGCTAGTGTAGCAATTGGTTGCAAGACAGTTAAGGCTTGAAAATATTGGTGGATTTATTAATTACATATCATTTCGTTGCATTGACTGTAATACAAGCAATTTGCAATATGTTCTATCATAGTATATTTAGTAAAGTATCTTTTCATTTCCCGGAAATGTCATAGAGAACAGTTTCGATGCCGGTCGATCCGTTGGACCAAAGAGTACCAAGCAGAGACATTCCTACGTATCTCAAATAGAGTTCATGAAAACATGTATTTTAATCCGTTATATTGGCACCTCGCTTTGCATGTTTTGTGAGGCGCCTGAGTTGAAACGTAATGTTTTGTGACGTTTTTTGCTTTCTCGTAAAGGAGTAACTATAAATAACTAGTAGTATAGAGAAAGGTAAATAATTCTGGGGCGAAAAGTGGCTTTTTTCGACAGACAAGCTTATTTCGGTGCACCCAGATACCGTGAAAACGGATCTTTCTGACTCGTATATACGAAATGAATTACTTTCTCTAATACGTTGTGTAGTTCATGATTCTTGATACCGAAAAATCGATTGACAGCAGAACATCTGTTTGTCTTTAAAGAACGTTAGCGGCTAAACCTTAAGAAATATTTTCAATAGTATTGATTTTCCCGGGCCGTTCGTAATGGCGTCGCAGCCACTTGAATCTGACACAGATTTTTTTTTTAAGCCTCAAGATTTTCGAAAATTTCTCTCCTGTTTCTTCTCTCAGATGGCGCAAAATGCACTTAAACTAGCGTAAATCACATTTTCGTGAGCTTAATGAATTTTTGAAAGTTATAGGTGAAGAAAAGAGTTGCTGGCTCGTAATGTTACCTGTGACATGTTCTCAGTTGAAGTAATTATTTTAAGTCGTTCAAATATCTGGATTATGAAGAATGAAACCTTCATGTAATAGGTGAATGTTTTTGTGGGGAGAATGTTCTCGTTATTAATAATGTTCCATAATTTATTAGTCTGTTTTTAGTATTTATTTTAGAATTGAATTTATTTGTTTTTAAGTTCAATTCAAGCCTAGGTATTACAACTACGTTAACGTACATTCAAGTTTACGTTTTGCATAGTTGGAAGTAGTTTTTAGTATTTCAGAACAGGTCATATCTTTCATTTTATTTTTAAAATCTAAAATCTCTATAATATTTTTGCATTGCATTTTTTTACTCGAGGGCATGCAAAATTTTTATGCAGATTAAATTTATTCAAATAGAAATTGCATATCTCATTGGCATTGCTGTTATAAATCTGTTCAATTTGCCACAAGACACTTACATGCAGAAACTGTATTTTGGTATCATTTGTGAATGAATATTTAAGTTGTTCAGTATTAAGGGGACAATTAAGAACTTCAATAAATTGTGGTGTGTGATCAGATCAATCAAATCAGTGAAAATGAAGAGTAGTTATTGATTTCAATACGCATAATACCTAGATCTATGGTTGAACTGAAATGGGTCATAAATCGATGGTCATAATGCTGCATCACGGAGACTGAAAATTTTTATATCATTTAGTTTCTTACAGTCAGTGTTGATGGTCAGATTTCTTCGAATAGTAAGCCCACGGTTGAGCTTTCTTAGAAGTTTTAATAGAAGATCTTCAAATTGAAGTAGAAAGTAACTTGGATCAGAATTAGGGTATCATTAGATGACAATCATTTTTATGCTTCCTATTGTATGTACATTTCGGTCCACTTGGTCTTAATGACGATTATCTGGTCTTTATGATTATCATGTCTTTTAAAGTTTTCAGGAACTATTATAAACACAAGAACAATAATTAATAAAGACATGATAATCATGAAGACCAGATCATCATCATTAAGACCAAGTGGAGTCAAAACAAAATCAAAATCGACTTTTTTTCTTTTTTTTTCCATAACTGCCTATATCAGTTTCACACAAGAACATGTAAGAGTTAGTGGAAAATTCATATGCATAATTGAAGGTTCAAGCAGTAATTATAATAGTAATTCATGCTAATATTATCACATATCTCTTTACGGAGAAAAACTTGCTTAAATATTCGCGATGCACAAACATAATGTAATATACATATAATATATGTATGATAATAATATTTCTCTCTCTCTTTGTATATATATATATGATAATTGTACATTTATTTCCCAAATTATATTATATTGTGGAGCCAAAATAAGAAACATGGATGTCATTTTGAAACAACCCTCTTGATGCCTTCGACTACTATGTATATTTTACAGCGCAATATACACCAACTAAAATACAGAACAATACAGAACCCCACAAGCGGAGAAAGGCAATACCAATACGCGTATGATTAATGACATACTTTCTGCCTGCCTTCTTCCTCGCCATACGAATGGCGCAACCATCCTGCGGCACTTGGAGGCAGGCTGCGAACACACACAGTCGCCAGTTGCACCACCTGTTTTGACACTGGCGCCCTTATCCGTGTTGTCGTGTAGGCGGCCGCTTCGTGTAATGTATGCCCTTCACCTCGGGGCGTTGCAAGTACGGGAACGCCTCTTATCTTCCACAGCGACGCAGGAGGAGCGGGGTGTTGTGAGGTGGGGGGGGGCGGGTCCGGGGTCGAAGGGGGCGGCCAGCTAGAATTGGGTCGCAGCCGGTAGCGGGAAGGGGCGGGGCCGGACGGAGGGCGGTGGAACGGCGGGGGCATTTGGGATCGGTGAAGGGGCGGTAGGAAGGGCGGGGGCGTGGTTTTGAGGAGTGGTGGTTGTCGACGTGGAATGGGCGGTGGCGGTCGAGATGGATGGCGGCAGTAAGCATGACGAGGATGGGACGACGAGGCGGTGAGAATGGGCGGGGGCGGCTTGGGAAGGCGGGGGTAGGGCGGAAACGCGTGGAGGTGACCGGGGAGTCGTGGGCGAGGTCGGTCCTGAGGTGGTGCAGGCGTAGGGTCGAATCGACCGGGGGCGGATGTTGAGTGGCTTGGACGACGTGGAGTGTGGGCGTGATGGGCGATGGCGGCGTGGGCAGCCGAGCGACGGGGGTGAAGAGGAGGCGGATAATCTAGGGCGGAGAAGGTGGCCGGGGGCGGCAGGGACGGCCGAGGGACAACGATATCCAGCGGAGCGGGGAGGGTCGTCGAGGGTGGGGTGGAGACGTAGGGCGGTAGCAACACGGGAAGGGCGCGGGGGCGGGGACGGCGGGAGCGTCGGCGGGCGTCTGGGCGGCGCGGGCGGCAAGGCATGCGAGGCGGTCGGCGCGGCGGAGCAGCGGGGCGGCGGGGCGGTGAGGGCTGCGGGGACGGCGGGGCGGCGGGGGCGGAGGGCGTGGTCGGGGGCCGGTGGTCGGGGGCGGGGGCGGGGCGCGTGGACGGGGTCGCAGGGGCGGCGAGGGCATCAAGGGCGCAGGGGCGGTGGGTGGCGGGGGGGACGGCTGGGCTGGCGGTGTTGGCTTCCTGCGCCGCCAGGGCGCCGGTGGGGCGCTGCTCTTGTTTCTTACGGGCAAGCGGGTCTCGAGGGTCGGCGCGCGCACACCCAGGCCACGCCCCGCTGGCAGCCGGGGGTCCGCGGGGCCGGGGCGTATTTGGCCGTGGTTGTTAATGGCTTCGTCGTTCCATTGTTCGGCGGCGGAGGTGGCGCGCCCGGGTGAGCCGCTGGCGGCGCGCGTAATTCGGCGAGTGGCTGGCGATGGAGTCTGGACGGCATACGCCAACAAGTTTAGGAGTGCCACCAGTATTTTTTCGATGTGGGGAGTGGGTGTGTAAAGTAAAAAGTGTTTAAATCCTCGACTTCAAAAAAAATTAGTTAAAACAACAATTTTTTGGTTGGCTTCATGAACAAGGTACAGATCGGTCATAGTCTATACTTTGTTCACAAAGATGTCAATTAAACCCGCATTTACTTATGACACTGAAATAATATTGGAGTTCAATTGAGTTTATTGAATCTAAATTTCTTCACCTGTCCAATATCTTTTGCAGAAAACTTCTCCTAGTTTACAAAATAATCATACGTGACTATATTTCAATGTAGGCATATGAATGGCTTACCTACTCATTACACCATCAATTTTTGTAATTTCTGATTGGACAATGATTTCTCTGTGGATGTACTGACCGCTATAAAATCTGGCCTGCTAGCTTTGTCTAGGCTTGTGTAGACAGGTAATACTAGTCATATGTGACAACGGTGCCCTTTCATTTTGGGTTTATGTTTTGGATATCTTGAATCTTAAAAAACGTTTTCAACTCTCCGCAGGGAGCTAAATCGGCATCATATTGGCACGGTATCCATGTCTACCCTGAAGCTTACTCACTTAGATCAGGGCATTTACCGGTAGGAAGTATTCCTACTTTGATCAATATTAGTATCATAATTGAAATAGGAATACAGATAGCGAACGATCTGGGCTTTTTCAAAAACATCTTCATTCTTTGGAGAATTCATGATTATGTTTTTTCTCATATTTATGAAAAAAATGAGAATGTTGAAATGCAAAAGCCCACGGTGATGGCGAGTCATTTTTAAAGATTTTAATTGGTTTATATTTACATTTGTCATGACAGATGTCAGCACATATCCTACAAGTAAATACATATACAACATTCATGTTAAAATATATAACTTAATAACATATTTGGAATACATATGCATTCAATTTAAAAATAGTATTTGGAAAACAGGCGGAAAATAATTATTTCAATTAAGGAGGATGGAATATAGGCCTTAGGGAAAAGTGAAGTCTATCGAGGCTTTGCGAAATAATTTTGTCCCAAAGAGCAAACTGATAGATGGCAGGTTAAGGTATCAGTTGTAATAAAAGTTCTTTGTGAGGTTGAATTAAACGATTTTAATAAACATCACTTGAAAAAGGCAGGTGCTGTAATCAATTCCTGAGGAGGCGCACGACAAAACGGTCAAATGTCGGTAATGGTTGGCTGGGCTATCCGGGACGAGCCGGCGTTCAATGTCATGGTGGCTAACGTTTCGGCCAGCGTCATTGTGGGCCTTCTTCAGAGCGTATTGCTCAGAAGGCCACAATACGCTGGCCGAAACGTTAACGCGCACCAGTGACATTGACGCGGCTCTGGTCCCGGATAGCCCAGCCCAACATAACATCCATTAAATAAAATACAAACTTAATATTACAAAAGTAAGAAGATAAGAGTATGAAGGCATTTATGTCGGGCGCATTTCTCCCGACTTAGCCACACATCAGGGGCTCAACTTATTCGGCAATCTCATTTAATTATTATTATTATTTATTATTATTATTATTATTATTATTATTATTTTAAACACAATTGTAATTTCATTATTTGTAATTCAGTTGCTATTGTTTGTAATTATTATAAAGTTTAAAATAATCTAATATTTATATTAATATCCCACATTGTATCTTAATTATCTTGTATTTTTTTGTATTTTATTTATATTTGTAGACTCATGATGACAGCAAAGCCGGCGAAAGAAGACTCTCTAAATAAATCAATTAATTTGACGGAGATAGCTTCAATTATTTCATCATTTAATAATGTCGTGTGTATTTATTTATTTGAGATAAACCTTTGTGCGTTTATTTTTTGAAATTTATTTGAAACTTTTAAATATTATTTAAACTTATTTGAAAAATTTGATTTTTTTGAAATTTATTTTGAACAATTTGCACTTTATGACGATTCGCGCGTCACTTTGCTCGCCGCGTCCACTGCGCGGAGGCTGAGCTTCAGCGGCAGAGGCGCGCGGCGCGGCGACCGAGGGGCGTCGCGACGCCCAAATAAGGCGCAGCCGGCGGCACGCGGCGGCGGCGGCGGCGCCGCCCGTGCGGGTGGCCCGAGGTCGAACCCAGGACCCACGCCTCCCGCGGCCCCGCTCGCTCGCTCCGATCAAAAAGACCCGCCTATTGTTAAGGCTCTTCCAGCAAGCGCCGTTCCTACGGATAAGGTTTGATACATTTTCGGCCGCGATTAATTTCCCACCAAGAACAACGCCGATGCCCACACCCTCGAGTATGCGGGAGAAAAGGATGTTTGTGGATGACCAGAGAAACCTCTGCTGAAAGAGGTCTGGGGCTCTAAGCGAGTTTGGAATAATCGGAAAATGAATTTGGTTCTGAAAATCCAAATGAATAAAACGGAGTGTGTAACAAAAGGGGACTTTATTTACCATTTGTAAATATTAATGATTTGTGCGCCAAGGGTGTTTTGACTCTAATTATCAAACGACGACAAAAAGTGTCAAAGGTCGGAGGGCATTTTGTCATCCGAGATCATTAGATGCAGTTAACGCTCGTAGCCATTCAAGATTTTCTTTTTTCCCTAATATTAATGATTCAGATTTACTATTTACTAATAAACAAGTTATTAACGTAACTGTTGTCTTTTTTCATATTTCCCTTCATAACAGAACATGTATCATACAACTGTTTTCATATTTCCCTCGTAACTCTCTATTCAGGTAAATTAAGCAGTACTTCGAGCTTCGCATCGAAGGCAATAACAAGCAATATCACTAGCCTATTAGTAAAAATAAATGCATTGAATCATTTTTTACTGAAGATAGAACGTTTCACTACTTTGCAGTTAGTATTAACGTTACATTTTTCTCAATAACATTATAAACAAACATTTGAACATTATAAAATGTTAGGTTTATATTTTTTCTCAATATTACAAATCCTATTGCTATAGAGTTCCACAACCGCTTTGAATGAATTTAGCAGGCACCTATAGCACGTACAAAACAAAGAACACCAACGTTCAGGATCGCTCAAAAGTTTGCACAAATAATTCCGATTTTTCTGAACTTTTCCTTTATCAGGAGTTTCCTCCAACATTCACATAACCCAACTTTTATACAAGTGAACCAGCTTTAATACTCATTCACACAAATCGTACATCTGCCCCAATTTTATAATTATGAATTTTTACGTCCAGATATTTCTTTATTGGAAACCTGACTGTAATAAACGTGTTCATAAAAGCTGCTAAATTGATAAATGACCATAGTCTTGAACTAAACAATTTGAGAGCAACTTGAATGCTTCTTACTAATAGGTACTCATTACTGTTAGAAGTAATTGATAAGTAACTTTAATCAAGCGTTTCAAGGCCAGTTAGCCCTTCGCGCGCTGCCTGTCGAGAGGTGTTTCGGAGCTTAAGCCATATATTCAGACGTGGAATGTTCCCACCCATGCATAATAACGGAAACGGTTGCCGCCGCCGAACAATGGAACTCTACGCACACAGCGCGTCACGCTGCGTCTGTGCTGGCTGCGGAACACGCCCCCCCCCCCGCCACCCCACCCTCCTTCTCCCGAGTGAAAACCGATTCCCCCCTCCCAACCTTGAATCCCCTGACTTTTTTTCGCGGTTTCAGTGCTCCCAGCGTTCAACTTGCTCTGTAATCGACTTTTGCCGCGGAGGTGTCCACGCAGGCCGGATGCAAGGAGTGGCAAAGGGGAGGGGGAGGGGGAGGGGGGAAGTGGGTAAATGAAACATCAAGATCTCTAATAAAATGCGCTTTTTTACTACAGTAGTCTTTTAAATGTATTTCATATAATAACAAAATTATAAATTTCTGCTCGCTGCACCCTATAAACAAAATTCAACTTTTTACGTAATGAGAAGATTTGGGATTTTGTTGTTAAGGCACTTAACACATGGCTCTAGCGAGCCATGGCAGTTTGTGGAGGCTACTTACAATTGTTGCCGATTTCTATTCAACTACGTCAAAGGGGCGCCGGGGAGCTCTCGGATTCAGTGTGCTCCCCGGCACGTTCAGGCACGTGGCGACCTCGCTCGGCCAGCTCTCGCATCGACTCACAAAAAAGCGAAGATATGTCTTTTCAATTGTCCACTAGCCGCATTGACATACAAGTAATTTGATGCTGAAAATTACGGTGCGTCATGCTACGAAAATAACAGGTTTCTCTCTCTCCCCAATATAACTTTTGTGTATATCTTTGTATCAAAAATATTCCTATTATGGTTTTGTTACGGCCCGCGGGCGGGGGCCGCCGGCCGTCGACTGGACAATCCAGGGCATATTAGTTCAAAGCAGGCAAGTTGCGGACAACCGGGCGATGAATATGCCGGACGCCAGTGAAAAAGGGCAGGCCACAAAGCGAGAGCCGGGCCGGCGGAGGCAGGCGCATTCTATCAGTCAACTTGGGGTAATTAGAGGGGGGTGATTAGTCGCATGACGCGGCAGGAAGCCGGAGGAGCTTGGAAGAGCCCGTCCGTCTCCGTCTCGTTCGTCTTCGTCCTTCCCGCCGCGTACTCGGTGACGGGGGCACGTCCGCCCGACCGCCGCCCGGACGCATTGCGCGCGTGCGACTGACAAAACATGCGGCGGGAGAAGGGGAATGTTGATTGAATCCTAGCCGCTCGGAGGGCCCGGGCGGGCGCTGGCTGGGCCGGCCTTTTCACGGTTCAGCGCAGCGAATTCAAGGACGCGGGCCGCCGGCGGAAGGAGGAGGAGGCACCGGACGCGACCAACGCGCTCCGGAGGCTGCAGGCCGGTGCGTGCGAGCGGCCGCTCGTGACTTTAATCAATCACGTCGTGGGGATGACGTCGCCGGTCCACGCCGCTCGTTACCGTTGAAAGGCGCCCGTGACGGCAGTAACTCGTCATCCGCGAAATCTGACAAGAGCCGCGCGCGCGGGACCACTCTACTCTACGCTGCGCAGCGCGCCGGACCGGAAAACTCCGCCGCCTGCCACCCCGCCGCCGCTCGTCGGTCCAACACTTTGTGCAGCCCGAGTGTTAAAACTATTTGCATTGTGAGTCCTCACGTGCCGGTTCTACTGAGCCATACCTCCTCCACCACGACAAATTCCGGTACATTTCAAAAGGAAAGTTCGATACTTGTAAAATACAGAAAGAATATAAACAAGTACTATATTTGTTTGATAAAATTCTATATTAACTGTACATATTGCTAAGATACACAGTACCCCTTATACAAAAAAAAATCAGTTGTGTACAAGCCAACTTTTTTGGCTAAAGGTTTGCCCCGGTCGAAGATTGTCTTTGTAGCCTTCTTGCCGGTCCCCAGAAGGAGCGGCGGGGCTCACCACGGCCGCCAGGGCTTCTCTTCGTCGCTGCACGCGTCCACCGTCTTCCGCATGACGAGCGGACAGCGGCCGCCGCTGCATGGAGGCGGGCTGTAGGGTACCGGCGGGACACCTCGTAGGCGACGGGTCCTGGCCGCGCGGCTGGGAGGCCGGCTCTTGGTAAGACGGGCCCGCCGCCTATACCTCGGCGACGTGGCGGCGTCCCGCACCGACGGGGACGCCGCGGGCGACGGCGCAGTGGGCGGGCGCGGGGGGCGGCGGAGGGGCGGCCTGACGCTGGGCCCGGCTGGCGACGCCACGACAGCCGGTTCGAAGGCCACCGGCGACGCCGGACGAGGTTGGAGGACCGACCGAGGTGGACGACGCGAGGCGGTGGACGCCCTCCGCTGCGCCGAACGGGGATGAGCAGCGGCAGCGGGACGAGGCGGACGACGGACGAGGAGGCAGGAAGGTGGATGAGGACGACGACGGGGGACCGGGGAGGTTGGACGGGGAGGACTGCGCCGTGGCCGGACCCGACGGCGGAACGTCCGTTGGCCCGACGGCAGCACCAGCGCGATGCTCGCCGTTGCGTTGTGCAGGCGGGCGTGGGGCACCAGCTGCAGGCTGGGGCCGCCGTGCTTGGTGGCGAGAAGATTGCCGCCGTTGGGCCGGCCGGCGATTGGCTGGAAGCGCACGCGCCGCGGGACCGGGCTGCAGGATGGTGCACCTGGACGGCAGGTGGCGGCGACGCCGGCGGGCGCCGGGGCGTGCCGCCGGCGGCGGGCCGGACGCGGGTGGTGGAGGCGGGGGCGGCGGCGGCGGCTTCGGGGGCGGACGCCGTGCTGCCGTTCAAGCAGTTGGCGAGGTGCTGCAGCAGGCGGCGCCGCACCGCGGACTCCAGCCCCGGAAAGCGGCCGACTTCGCCCGCGCACTCGCTGAAGCCCGCGCGGAACTTGTTGACGACGGCAGGGTCGGTGGCCGCGGACATGGCGGCCTGCTGGCGCTGCAGCGTCTCCAAGTGCTTCACGGTCATCTCCAGAATGTCAGCTTTCTCCAGCTTGGAATGGCGAGCCGGCTGCAGAAGAGAGAAAAACATTTCTTTAGTACATTCAAGCTCAATTTTAAAGCCTCTGAAAATATTTCACATTAAGGAACGATATCTGAGATCTCCATAATTTGTAACTGAATGTGAGGGTCTTCAAAAATTAAATTAGCGATTCTTAAGTTACGAGACTTACGAAGCAGATGTTCTGATTCATAATTTATTACCCAAAGGAAACTAAGTATCAAGACTGACAACGACCCACTTCTACAAGTTAAGTAGCGACAATCAAGTCGTATCCCAATATTCAGAAAACAAATTAGAGCGATCTCAGCAGAAAGGAAAGGTGCTAATGGCCAAGGATCGGATTCCGAAAGTAGGCACGAAACCCCACCGGCCCAAATCCACCGAACGCTCCCATCCCATTGGCAGACGCCTCGGAGAGCGAACGCGCGCCCATTAACATACAGATCGGCTTGAGACGTAACAGGTCCGGCGCAAACCACAGGCCTGGGCGACATGAAATATCATTCTGTTTGCAGTAATGGGCGCTCATCTAATTTTAATCTGCGCTAAGCACCTGTTACCGCGCGCCGGCTCGGAATTTCAATCAGGCCGCGAGGCAAAAACCCCAGCGGCCGAGCGCGGCGCCTCGCCGCTCATTATCACGTTACGCACACACACACACGGCGCTGCGCCGGGCCCGCCCGACCGGTCCGGGCTTCGACGCCCGGCCCCGCCGCAGCCGCTCCCTGCCCCACTGCGGCGGCGCCGGCCGCAGCTCGCGGCTCTGGGGCGACCGGTTGCGCCGCGACGTGACTCGCCGGCCCCGCCGCAGCCGCTCGCCAATTTCGGAAGCGCGCACCAAAAGATTAAAAATAAAGACTCGAATAAAAAAAAAAGTCCGCGAAAAGATTTTTATCCCGTCGCATAAAGCTGGCGACTGCTGGCAAGAGCGACGCAAGAAAACGGGAGCACCGCCTTTGGGAGTACACTCCGAAACGAGATAAAGCAAAGGACCCGCCACGCGGCAGGTGAGAAAACACGAACCCCTCCGCATAACCGAGTGGAAAAACATGGGCACCGAACACGGTGAAGTCCCTTGGTGGTCCAGATCGCACCTCCACCACGGATGAGGGGATAAACAGGTTGTTCCAAAAAGCAAAAACCATCGTCGGCTTTATCGCTACAGCGTCGTGCTTCGCAGGGCCCCCATGGAACGCAGGGGAAGGGGCGGCAGGCATTACCGCGAACCCGGATCCCTGCGGCTGCAGCCACCCGCAGCGAAACACCTCGGGCTCGCTCGCCTCCTACGTCGAAACCGCCCGCGGCGCCGGATTTTACTGCCCGTAAAAAAAAGCCCACGCCAAAACATGGGGTGATCGCAGGAAAGCGATACTGCGATAAACAAGCCAAAAGACATCGGTGGCGAGAGCGCGCCTTGGCGGGCGGTCCTACACGGAGTAGTACCCTGGGATTTTGAATATTAGCGAGGCACACGGAAAGAGGTTTGAGAGTCGACGAAACTACACCTCTGTCGAGCTAGCGGGGGATTTTATGGCTTGTGTTCTCAGCTCGGAAAGTTGTTGTTAACAACGCTCACAAATTTTGTTTCTTGTTGTTTTTTTTAACTATAATCCGATGAAAATGATAAATCACGGTGTATAGCATTAAGGTGTATGAGGCACAAAGCTAAGATTTCGATGAAATATATATTGCGACCCATTTTAGATTCAATAACGGGTCGCAAAGCGACAACCAAAATACCCTAAGCTAAATGTAATAGGTTCTCCTATAATTTAGGTCAACATTTTATCTGTGTTATATTATCGCATGCGGGATCGAACCTATCCAATCAACGGCAGCACGCTATCAAATTCCGAAGAAACCCATGAGAAGCGCTCTACAGCGACAGGCCCAGCAGCACAGCAAACGCCCCACACCGCCCGCGGGCGCACTCGGCGACGCGCTCGAGCGTAAATTAATAATTCCGAATTAAATATGGCGTCGGCACGTCGGAGCCAATGAGCGGGCCTGATTAGGCGGCAACAGGGGCCCCCCCTTTATGCTGATGGCGGCGGCCGACACCTTGTTAAGCCGCGTCGCCGCCCTGAGAGACGCAGCGCGGAGCGAAGCTCGGGCAGCGACGGCCGCCGGGCGACCTCGACCGCCGGGCGTCACAGAGCGTCCCTTCTCTCTCTCTCCCTCCCGCGTCTCGTAACGAGCGTTTCGGGATCACAGGCGCACCGCCCGCTCCACGACCCGCCTCGAAATGATTATTCTTACGTAATTTACGCACTTAAGACCCTAATTTCTGCCTGCTAAAGCGTGTTTGATATTCACCGTAACTTAGTTAATGCCGTCCTTTATTACGCCTCGAAACAAAACAAGATCGGAGAGGCGCGACGCGAGACGACGGCAGCGACGCTCGGCGGAAGATTGTTAATTAGAAGTCGGTTACCGTGCCCGGGGGAGGGGGGAGGAGTGGGGGGCACTGAGCGGTGGGAGAGATGCAATCCAGTCTACTCACGTCTTTCTTCATGGCGTCCAGGATGAGCGACTTGAGCTCGTTTAGGCAGTTGTTGATGCGGGCTCGCCGTCGCTTCTCCATGATGGGCTTGTTGCTCTGCAAGAAGAACAGAAGAGTCGCCCGTTAGAGACAACATCGAGGAGAGAGAGGAGCGCTGTTGTGGGAAGATGCGCATAAAAAGTTTAAACGGGAGCGAGGTGCGAAATTGCACCACGATCCCGTGATACGCTCGCTTGCGGCTGCTGGTGTTGCTGCTGATGTGGCTACCGATGCCGCGGGCAACAGTGGGCAGACCGGCTCGGGCGGTGCCCAGTTTTAACTCGCGCCTGGTACCCCATTTTTCGCACGTCCTTTATATTAATTCGCGTGAGGAATATCTTAATACAGGTTCGCGTTTGCGGTTGGATCACGTAAGCGGAGAGGGGGGAGAGGAGTTAACAGCAATAATGGCTCCTGAAATCTGCCACATACGCGCCAATTACAGCACAATGTTCTTAATATAGTGAATTTTTATGCTAAGAAGTTTTTCATTTTCTAGACGATAATGAGAGGGTTCGCTGCTCGTACATTGATATTTAAGTGTCACCTGCTCAACTGCCATTTATGACACGTCAGCTGTTGAACTATACGTGGGGTAGTAAATTACAAAAAATGTGCAGTCAAATAAATAGCAATTCAATCTGTGCTTCGGAGAATCTATAATTCCTTTCTTCATCGTTTATTTAACACTAGATTATTTTATCTGAATTGTAGTCACGCGTGATAAGGCACTATTCAATTATAGAGAAAGTATTCTGCAAAAGATAGTGCTGAAACCACTTGGTGGTGCTGAAACCAAGTGGTCTAAGTAAATGAATCCATTGACGAATTCAGTGCAGGGGAATAACCTACATGTACATTGCCAGCATTAGTTGCCAAAGCAGTCTGTTCTTGTTCTTGTAGTGATCTTTCAATATTACACAGATATCGCATTAGATGCCGATAAAACAAAACTATTAGTGCAAATAAATACGTACAAACAATCTGTTCCAAACTTGAAATTGCTATTAAACTGAACATAAAGAACAGAAGTCGAATGTTACGTCATAATAAGTCGTGACACCATGATTTGAAACTGACTAAGTGAACAATGAGTGGTGTGGAACACATCGGGGTCACAGAGCGTTCCCGCCAAGTCGCCAGCACTCGTAATCCTAACCTCCTCTCAGAGGCCGGTCCCGCACACAGCCACCTCTCACGATTCGGTCACGTTCCGCGGCGCGCCGTACGTGTCGGACGCGACGGTCACGACCACCGGCGACCCGAGCGACTCGTAAACATCCTACACACACACACACACACACACACACGCGCGCGCGCACGCGCGATCGCGCGACCGAGCCGCTCCGCCGCCGGAGCGAACGCGCGTCACACGAACACACGTCACGACGGGCGCCGGCGACGGAATTCGCCCGGGCGATAACGCCCCTCCGCACACCGCTTCGAGCGGCCAAAAGAAAGAAAAGGAACGGAGCGCATTCCTACAATCAATGCCATTGAAGGCTAGCTGCTTTCACGGCATTTTAAAGAAAGAAAAAAAAGTAAGAAACTGAGAAATGCGTTATTTGTAGGAAGGAAAGCGCTTCAAAAGAGATGTTTATAATATGATAAAACATGTGCACAATTCATGACTTGGCGTACGGTAGAACTGATATTAATTCAACGAATAAAAGCCATATATATGAATAAAATATTTGAATGTTTTAATGGCCACGGAACAGTTGCCATTGTAGAAACGGTATGAAATATTTAGTAATGAAGTAAGCTTTACAAAAGTACTCCACTTGGAGTAAATAAAAAAATTAATGGGAAAATTTGATTTCGGATGTGTCGTTACAGAACTAGTTAAATAGACTGGAAAAAATGAACGAAAATGAGATGGACGATTAACATATTTATTATTTGTAGTAACGTTTCTTCTCTTGTGTAATTTTTTATGTGTTTTTTTTTTCTGTAAATGCTTGGTAGTAAGCCACTGTCCAGCGAGATGTTGCAGCCACTCGGCCCACTGCGCGGCGCGCGCAGGCACACGCGGAAACGCAATCCGCTCAGCAGGTGGCGGCGGCGGCCTGAGTCAACCGCCCACCCGCCCGCGCAAGTGGCTGCCGATACGCCG